GCGGGCGGGTAATGTGCTTCTGCTCGAGCACTTGGAGGCTCACCTCCACTTCTTCCTGCTTCGCACGCAAGCTCCGGTTCGACGTTTGTCGCCGAATCACTGCCGCTTTTGCAACCAGCAAGCACAGAGCATAAGTTTCTTTGAAAAAGAACGAGTTTACAGCGCCACATGCGAAGCTCATGAAAGTCGGGATATAGAGGGTCCATCGCCTACCCAGATAGCTGGAGGCTATGAATCTGCCAATAAATGGTGCGCTGAATGGTCCACAAAAACACCGTAAGCGAGTATATAGAAATAGCAACTCCACGGTGGACGTTGTTGTAAATATCCGATAACACTGCGGGAACGACTGAGAGCCGGCTAGCACCAAATAGCCCAGCAAAGAAGCGACACATAATGACGGTGTGTATATCCCTGCCGACAGCTGATGCGATATTGAATATGGCATCACCCACCATCCCAGCAGTCAGTGGCCATCGCCGGCCAATCAGTTCTGAGGCGGGTGCTCAGATCAACGGACCGGAGGCAAATCCCAAGACGTACAATGCCGTACCAAGGGTCCCAAACCTCGGTGCGAACCCCGAAGGCCTGGGCCATGCCGCTGGTTCCTGGTGCAAAGACTGCGCTGCTAAAAGAGGTAGTAAATATGCCAAAACATGCTATTAGCGATATGTAAAGCCTTGAGAAATATCACAAATCGGCATGATCTTTCAGGGGTTATGAGAAGCAAGCCAAGGGGATACTTTGCTTGACACCAAGGGACCAGTTGAACGGACGTTCTGGATCGTCCGGTCCGTCAAACTCAACGATATAACTACCAGGGACATCTTGATGGCAAATACAATCGCTGGCACCATACGAGAAAGGAAATTTTGGAATTCGACCCTGGGGATCTGGGAATTACTTTCTCGGTCTATGGGATTATCATATTCTACGGCGCATACCGCAGCCCAGGTGGGTCAAGTCGTTGGCGACTATCATAGTAAACGAAATCATTGGGGGTTTTATGTAAGAAGCTATGTGTATACTACGTACTCCGTATATACAGTGTCCCCTTTCCGACTCCTAGAATGTCAGCAACGCGTAGGTTAAACGCGGTAAAGATTCGGGCAGGTGCCTCTTATGGAGGGTGAAGTCACTTCATAATCAGGCGACCTGGGCGAGAACTCTTCGGCAGTGGAAAATACCTTAAAATGCTGAAGAAATATCCTACACTTTCCATGGCTCATTACATTTCAGTGTACGTCTAGTCTCAAGAAGCTCATAAACATAATTTTCGCCAGTAGATCCCATTCTAGGGGTTTCAACGAAGAATATGTGCGCAAGTAGAAGATCAGATTAACGGATAAGAGGGAAGGATGGCCAGTGATCCCGAAATTCAGGAGCAGCTAGTCTCAAATTATTGGTGTGGTAGGAGGTGTGATTCCAAGGAGGTCGTAGCATGACCTGTCCATGATTCGAAACTCAGAGGCAAGTTGATTAGTTCAATCACGCATGGTTTCCATACTCTGCCACTTTCCCTCGGCTATGAGTGTCCTTCTCGCCTCGTTGAGTTGGTCGATCTTATGGGAGATTTCTGCTTGTGAAAACACAATGGCCGGTCTTCTGGGATAGTCAGAGAGCAGGAGCCGGCCTTTTACATATTATTCCAAAAATTGAGAAGATTGGTCGGGCAGTGAGAGGGGACAATGTCATCATCCAGTTCCCAATGTGTCTGACGACCACGGGATTTGCACATGCGTCATGTCCGTACGTAACAGGGAGGGTTATGGATAGTCCACCGTGGGCGGTTGTCTATCTTTTGGATCTGCTTACACATTCTGCATTTGATTTTAAGCAGAATTGGGAGCCTTTCTGTCTCCTCGACCGTGCGTTCCATGTATTCACTCCAAGCCGCCTTGCTTTGAGAACTGCGTTCCAAATGTGTCTTATCTGACCTTTTGTAGCTTCTGAATGCTAACCCGCGCTCAGAAGTCTGGGTGTAGCGAGAAAAGAACTGTGGATGGTACACAAATACCAGAAAGCGAGTCAGAATGGTACGCTCTCCAGGTAAAGCGTGGCAAGCTCGAAATCACCCCACCGTTTCAACTCCACACGGTTTTTTTCTAGGCGCCTGCGCATTCTGTCCTCTATATTCTTCCCCCAACAGATCTCCACACAGGCTCTCATGTGTTTCCGTACGTCAAAGACAAAACTTTCGTGAATATCACGCAAATCACCCTTGTAGTCACGCACGCAGTCCGTTGTGTTATCCCGCCCTGATACATGAACAAATATGAAACATTTTTCTGATGTGAAGCCCGCCTGATGGATTCAACATATGGTGGGGCTTGAAAGATCATTAGTTTCCGGGAGGTAGGGATTTGCGATATGGAACGTCGGGTTGTGAAGATGGCAAGCAATCGGTACGTCCAATGAGCCGCTTGGGGGTATCAGGAATTCTGCTGGTCGAGAAGATCTACGTTTTGCCCAGGCCGCGATCTCGATCTGAGCAAGGGCCTCAAATGCTTGCTTTATATTCCATCCACTAGGTCCTGGAGTGACGGTATGTTTAGCTGGCGCCTCCTGGGTAAACTTATCCGCGGTAACTCACGCTCGACAAGTCATCTCTGCTCTAGCTCCTTAATGCCCTTAATGAACGGCATCAGTTTCCAAATAAAGCAGGTCTCCTGTGTAAGGTAATTTCGTGGTGTCTCCAGGTAGAGGTTCCCAAACAAATGGAAATCAAGCTCCCCAGAGTTCTCCATCCTGAATCTGCGTCGCTGTCCAGACAGTCGATATAGCGAAGCAAGAATTACAGGACACAGGAGAAAAAAATTCCCACCGAAAGCGTAAACTGAAAAGTGGGTTACTGATACGGCGAGCGTAAAATGGAGCGGTGATAAATAACGAAGGATATTTTAGTCTGCACTATCTATATTTCGCAAGTGGGAGCAGACAGATCCTCGAAGACTGACGTATCTACTTCGATCTAGAAACAAAAAGAGGGGAAGTAGGAGCAACGAAGGTTTCTTTTGCGGGTTGGATACAAAGTACTGGGAGACTATATCTGGGAATCTCACTTTATCTTTAGGTTTGTAGGGGAACTTGCAGGTATCTCGACAGGTAGAACTCTCAATGGCCCTTATTTGGGGGCATGCGTCATTGGTTGCTCTGTGGGTAGACTCATTCAAGATTCAAAACGGATTACACGGAAACACTCATGTGTTTTATCTCAGACCCTTTGTGTACCTAAGAAGGCCCAATCAAGGTTAATGATCGCATTGCTTAAATATTCTGTCCTATCAGAAGTCACAGAGACTCCTTGTGAGCGGTCAAGGAATATCCTAGCCCAGATTATAAGTGAATGCTACTCTTCCTACAACCCAGGTTGATTTGTTATGATAGATTACATATATCGAATGAAGGTCAAGTATAACTGCGTAGGGACGTTGATATGTCCTTATATATTTGTCGGTGGCTGGGAGGGATTGAAATCGTGGATTACCAGGAACTAGGGATTGCTAATAACATGAAAGGCCTTGTATGGCTGTGAGGACGCGTGGGTGCTGGGCGCTTGACCCAACATATTTGTTACTGCAGGCTTTCAAGTAGGAGTATTCCACAAGTTCCCGAAACAGCCCCAGAGGCAGGTTTGAAGGAGATCTCAGAGACAGTCTGAGTGGCAATTTTAAATACGGTTCCGGAAACAGCATCACAGGACGACCAACAAGCAGCTCAGTAAGATCTCTGGATACGTACAATCTGAGCACATCAGGACTTCGGGCTTATGCTTCAGCATTGGAGCCCAAGCTCCAACCGGTTGGACTAGACAATATGTAGAATCAGGCACCCAGGTCGGGGATCTAGATGGGCCTAGCGTCTACGTACCACCTCCATCGATTCTTTCTGCCTCAAAGTGTAAATAGTTCTTTTACATTTCCCCCTCGGTGAGAAAGAAGCTAGTGAGCTAGCGATCAATCAAGCTCCTTCAGCATCACCCGTTAGATATAGCTAAAGAGGGAACTGAGTCATATGCAACATGATCAGTCTCTTGGCGACCATCACTTTACCAGTGGCTACCAATACGTATTATTTCAAAGTGTAAACAAGTCATACGACATCAGTATGAAAAATTGGTACATCGCTTCTTGTTAGGGGGGGTTTCTAGTTGTGCGGAGGCTCTAATACAAGACATCCATGCAAGCTGCCTTTTGTCAGTTTGCATTTCAGCACATTTTATGTCTACGCTTGTAGCATTCTGCTTTAAATGGATCCAGATCAAGAATCTGAGGCTTAGATCGACCATATGCATGAAAACTGAAAGCCGCGCCATGGACGGTGGGATTAGGTATATATTAATGTGGAATGACCAACTAAGAAGACTGAAAGATTGAAAACGCTGAATACGTGTAATTGCTTAGAAAACTAGAAAACTTCCTTGATCTAACAATCTGAAATACAGGTGATGTCCTTTATATAGGGGCCCTCATGCAAGGTAACTCGAGAACATAGTGATCGATTCACCAAATGAAATATAGCGCAGTCACGAGGCTTGCCGAAATAGGAAAACGCCTACAAGCAACATTACATGTACACTGAGAAGATATAAAGAAAGGCTTCTGTGGTGTAATCAAGTCGGTTTCCGTACTATAAAACAGACTATTGGTTCAATAGCAAGTAAATGAATCCAGCACCCAGCTTCATCCGACGGAGAGAGCCTGAGATTAAATCTAAAACCAGGTCCCCAGCTGGACATTGGACTGTCTGAGACTATTTGAACCCCAATTCAGTATAGTTCCAACAATAGGACAAACCTTAGTAATATATCTCTTAAATAGAGACGGGGCTGTATGCATGTCAGACATTTGTAAGGGGAGCGGAGTAGAAAAACACGGTTAGCAAGTGCTGAAGTGCTGAAGTGCTGCTGGATATATCTTCTTTGCAGCCATAAATACTTTTATACATAGGCTGGCTGAGTCCTTCATATACACAACTTCCTGGTCAAACTTTACCACACTGCCCGGTTAGCTTAGTCGGTAGAGCGTGAGACTGTAAGCCAATCAGAATATCCGGTTTCTCTATTTAGCCACTAACATCATCACCAGTTTAATCTCAAGGTCGCGAGTTCGAGCCTCGCATTGGGCGATTTTTTTCTTTTTTTCATTTGCCCTCTCAAACTCAAGTGTAGAGCTCATTCTTTCCGGATGATATCACATTTTATGCTGATCTGTGCAGGAATGATGTTTATATTACTCTAATCTTCTAATTACTAACCTGCTTTCTGCCCCGAATATGTTAAGATGGCATGCCCGCATTACTTTACTCACCTGGTGCATGGATAGGACCTAGGCTATAGCGGCCACTTTGTAGTGCCCGGTGGTTTTAGATTGTTCTCTGGACATTGGGTCTCCACTTGCTGATCGGGTAGAATATATATTAAATACTTGCGGGTCGTTCGAATGCTTGTCTTGTTGGCCCGGTAGCTTGTGGAGTACAGCGGTTCCTTGGACAGATATATATATATACGGAGTACGGTACTTAGACACCGTTGAGACACTGCCACGATATTACAAGGTCATGATATTCTACGTCCAGAAACAGGCAAAATGACATTAAAATCTAACCTGACTACTAAGTTTCTCATTAGCTACCCCAGTCGTTTGATTACTGAACTATCGCTCCGTTCACCAAACGAGTTGAGTTTCTGATCCGTTTTCGGCAAAACCTACTAGACATCAAAACACCCCACGAAATCTTATCTACCAGCCCGGTTAGCTTAGTCGGTAGAGCGTGAGACTGTAGGTTCTTCCTGACTTCTCCATCAAGTTAGACAACGTTCAACTAACATCACTCCCCCAGTTTAATCTCAAGGTCGCGAGTTCGAGCCTCGCATTGGGCGCTTTTTTTTTTTTTTCTCTTTTTTCGGCCATTCTTATAAGCTTTTTGTGCGGTATGCCCCGCGCGACGGTGGTATTACGTTTACTGTGCTATTCATAACTTCCATATATCATTGTTTTACTGTTCAAGGATCGAATCCCCATCTCGCGCACCCGGCTGCATGTTTTCAGCACATGCGGAATGCGGTTCCTTGAAAGACGTGGAAAACTGCCCGGTGCTGTGGTATTCTGGGATGGAAAGAATGGTTTCCTGTTATTGTCGAGGCGCACGGACATGAGAAATACTAGGAGAGACATGGTCAATTTTATACCGCGGACTAATCAAATCCAGATGCTAACCGGCCTGGCATTAGAGATGCTGCGCTGGACGATTCTTGCCACGGGTCTACCACCGAAACGGATGAGTTTGACCTATCTCTTCGGTGTGTATGACTACAATGGCAAACCATTGATCGGCTTCCCCGGCGCATTGGAAGGTGAGTCAAGACACATGACTGCACCCGACTGTTTACGACGGCCCTCCCAAAGAGAGGACGGGGGTAACATTCAACAATAGTACCAACATCCCAGCACCTGACTAGTTGACCCCGAATGGAATCGATGTATTTTTGTAGTTTGTGAGAATGTTGTTTCCCATAGAGTACTCCCCGCTACTACACTCCGAGTCTGGGAGTCTGTAGGCGACAAATGTCTCTTCGATGGGGTACTGGCACTTACGGTGGTGTCTCTGGCGGACAGTGGGTTGAGTTCCGTGTGTACTTCTACGACGGCGCTGGCCTTTGTAGTAAGAGAGGTTGAAAAAGATGGATTGGCGAGTATACGAGTAGAATAGTATGGATCGGCTGAGGCTCGTAGCCGCCGAACGGGTGACCAGGTAGTGCTGCAGTGGTTGTTGATGTCCTGGTTGCACCTGTCGTGGCTGTGGTCGTAATTGAAGCACCTAGATACATTGGTCATTGTCTAGAGAAGAAGAATTGGAAATTACACAGGGAGCGCCGCGATACCCGATTCCATGCATCAGACACCCCTATCTCCTCGGCGGCCATGCTTCTCCTAACAATTCACTGTCTGTCTTGCTTTGTGCCCCGTTGACGCTATATTACATACAGAGTAGTGCGCACGAATTCGTCTAGCGATAGCCACTAACAACAGCAAAATTCCACGTTTATTGGCTGTTCTTGCTCAAACGAACTACTAATGTTAGGGGAGGAAGCCAAGGAAAATGGCTCCCATTAAGCAGCGCAAGACGATCTCTTAGGTTGGACACTGGTAAGTCAAGGGTCCACTGGTGTAAAAAACCGTATTTTAATTGATTTGAAGGACAGGGTCATTAGGGACAAGAGTAATCGTGTATTAACCAATGTCTTCGTAAAGAATGAGTCGTTTTTTGGTGGGTAGAGCTGTATTGTGTCTGTCGTGGAACAAACCTTTCATTGTGGGTAATGCATTGACTGGGACTTTAGATTTTGGTTATAAGGAAAAGAAAAAGAAAAACCAATATATAAAGAAGAGAAAGCTTATAAGAATGGCCGAAAAGAGAGAAAAAAAAAAGCGCCCAATGCGAGGCTCGAACTCGCGACCTTGAGATTAAACTGGGGGAGTGATGTTAGTTGAACGTTGTCTAACTTGATGGAGAAGTCAGGAAGAACCTACAGTCTCACGCTCTACCGACTAAGCTAACCGGGCTGGTTGTTGGCACATTTTATTGCCAAATGTATATTGACCATAGATAGATTACCCAAAATAGAAACTTAAATTTCCCAAAAGGTTCATGTCTGGAGGGAAGCTCTAATGACTGTTTCCATTGGGCCCTCTGGATTTATAAGCCAGGCGAAATTCACGGTGACCTCTCTTGCGTCACTGTAATTGATCCGAACTGGCTCTACATGTCATCTGACTTCGAACGCGCCTGTCGATGTAATTTCAGGTTAGCAGTTCCGATATGTAAACTGTCCGTTTTGGATGCGCTGAGAACGTTTGGAAGCTTGGGGGATTATCGGGGCCGAGCCAGTGCCAAAAGAGTCTCGTAAAATTGCCAAGACTGGGTATGGGATGCGCTTCTCTCTCATCCAGTGAATGAGCTTCTTAACCCTGACAGCACACGAAGGTGGAATGAGATGGTCGGAATGACAGCAAGGAAGCTCGCAACGACTTGTGGGAATGATTGAGCTTGACTCACGGAGAAAGAACGGGCATGAGGCTGGATTATTAGAAAGAAAATCACCTCTTTTTAAATTTAGTTTATATCTTAGGAACATTCCGTCCGATAAAATCAGATGATAGTAGGTAAAACAAGAATCCAAGGATATGATCCCTCAGCGAGAACCCTTTGTCCCAGAACGCAGAACCAAGGCTAGATGGTGCAGCAGAGCTTCCGAATAAGAAATTCGATTTGTTCCCAGTAGGCAACGTAATAAAAACTCCGGCTCCACATGCCTTGATCAAAAGCGGTGTAAATGCTTGAGTGATTGCCAGCGGCTCCTAGACATTTATATTGAACAGTTTCCCGGTGATATCAAGGTCTGAATCGATAGTCGGCGCGAAATGGTTGCGAAATTGTTGATAAGGTCGTCCAATGTCCCTCCCCGGTATGTTCCTTGACTATGCTCACGGGGGTAAAGATGTGGGCTTTGTTACCAACCGCAGACAGCAAAAACAATTCTAGCTCACAGTTGTATGCCGGTCGTGTTGCCTCTGAATTGTATTCCCTGGAGAGCCCCAGTAGGTGGGTATCGTCGAGCCGATGAAAAAGGGCACCTTTCCGTCGCCCATTCTCCTTCGTCTTAGTTCCTTCTCCATCTCAAGGCGTTTCTTCGTTCGCATTTTACGTCCACGCTTCTTTGACCTTTTGTCTTTCCGGGACTGGGCGGTGGGGTTCACTTCTCCCTTAAATAGTGCCTTCAGCCAGCCTAGCATTTTCTGTGCTGGGGCCCCACGTGGGTATGTCTAGCGGGTGCCAGACGCACAAGCTATTCCCGTATCAGTATGAGGCCTAGAGGAGTGCTGGGTATTCCATCCCACCTCATATGTTGATATTTGTGTCCAGGATCGAAGATGTTTCAGTCCTCACGTACCACGAGACAATTGTTTTTGAAGGTCCGTCTTGGCTTGAGTTGAGTCACGTTGTCTCTGATGCCTTTCAGGCGTCCAACGGATGATTCTCCCGCCGTGGGGGCCAAACTCCTAAGGCAACCACCAATTCCGCGGTCAGAAAATAGATTCACCCATCTCCAGATAGGCGAACTAGAAAGACTTGTCAAGTTTTTGAGATATCTCCAATTTTAAAGTGAAGCTTTTCCACCTTTTTACCCAAGCCGTGCCTTCTGGCTGGGAGGCCACAGTTCATCAAGGATATTCATGATAGTCTGCGAGAGTCGCATGGTATATTTGTCCGAATCATTATCAATATCTCACTCTCCCCTCATGGTCCATGACTGCCTCGTCATCTGTGCTATCGTACCCTGTGCTCGCATCACCATCCGTCCTACCTTGGTTGCAACTTCTCTTGTGCTGGTCGAACAACTCCAGAGCCTTCGAAAACAAGGGAGTCGAGACAGGCTATTGAAGAGATATATCAGTGGCAGAAATATGTTACTGTGGAATGCCCGATATCAGTACTTGCCACCGTATTATCCCCTATAATTTCGCGACAGTCGATGTTGACGAGTAGAAGCTTGTAGAGCAGGGACTACATATTTTGGGAGTGGGAAATCAAACGATGGAGTGGAGAGGGGCAGCGATATTGTTTATGGATTGAATATAAAGTGCAAAATTGAGTTGTGTGTTCTATTTTACATTTTTTAGAGTGCTAATTGGTTTAGTCAATGAATGAGGGCTTTATAAAGTGCTGAAAGCAGAAGTAATACTGCATATACCGTACCTTTCTCAGCCAGCACAGTCGAGTCCCCTTCGATAGAGGTCAGCATTAGGGGGTCAGACTACCATGCAGAACGCTCAGTATAATTCTTCTGGAAACCATCCCACTTGGCACATACAACAAACGCATTAGACGCCGCGCATCATAAATAGTCGCTGGTACCAACATCATCATCGCGTTTCGCTGGTCCCCACCTTGATATATTCGTTTCCGCCGTTCTTGCAGTTTAGCTTCTTCTTTGCAGTACTTGTAGTTGCTGAATCTTTTGAAGGAAATGTTGAATTGACAGGGAGCTTTCCCACCACAGCCCGTATTCTTGAATGACTTATGAGAATAGTAGAAGCTCTTCAGGAACTGTCCTTGACCTGCGCTCTGTCAATCTCGATTTAGAAAAAATAAGGAATGGACCTGACTAAATGTTGTTATAGATGTCCTTGACGCAATGGTTCACCTGCTTGCTTTTGTCTGCCTCCTTGACGGACTTGAATGGATACTCGTCACACTGGTACTCTTTGCCATAGGGGGCTTTGCTGCACCGGTTGCCAGAGCCACAGCCGGCGAGACGACTGTGCTTGCTCTTGGTAGAGGAACTTGCCTGGTTCTAGGTGGATTTACTGCCTAATTTTCTGCATTTTGCGCCTAATTATAGGCGGTTATGTTTTTGCTTTTTGTATCAGAAGGGGAGAACATACCGAAGCACATGTTCATATACGTTTCTGTACACAGTTACTGTTAACTCTCGATTCTTCCAGATTGGGGGAGAAGCAAATGACATAACGCCGACATGTCCATCAGAATAATCAAAGGTCAGATGTTTTTTAGCAGCTGCAGCCATCTGTGTATCAGGAGTTGAAGTGTCGAGGACTGCCCATCCCAGCGAAAGGGCCAAAAAGACCTATCCACAGGAGAAAGGGCTTCATGATGCTGTCTAGCCTATTGTTCTTCTCGGGCGATATGGGACTTGCTGAATTCTGCTTCTACCTACCCCTTTTTCTGCTGGTAGTGGAGGCCTATATATGTCTCCTCCATCTGAATACTCTTTCCTTCAAGTCCAAACAGCCTCGGAGAAGACATTGTGCTTACTCGTCCTAGGAGGCATTGTCGAGCCTTCTCGTGCATGTTCCT